CCCTCAATGCCTACTTTAAGAAAGTGACTATACAGTAGTCAATTTCCTACCCTGTAGTTGTTGTTGTTGTTGTTGTTGTTATGTGCCATCGAGTTGGCCCCAACTCATAGCGACCCCTCCTTGGGTTTCCGAGGCAGTATCACTACGGAAGTAGGATTGCCCAACCTTCCTTCCGAGGAGTGGCTGGTGGGTTTGAACCGCCAGCTGTCTGGTTAGCAGGCAAGTGTCTTAGCCACTATGCTACCAGAGCAATAGCAGAATACAAAGCCTGACTCTCCAGCACCAAGTCCATCATCTTCAACTGTAGCCATCTCTCCATCATCCTCTCCTGCACCATCCAATTATTAATGTTATCATAATGATACCTTACAAATTCCCCTTCTGGTATGCAAGACATCAACGGAACAAGAGTAAGATCTTTAACCATGGCCTTTTTTGTTTTTGTTCTATCTCAACTGTTTTAAGAACTTTTTTTTTTTCCACAGTACTATATACTTACACAAACACACATACACACACACACACAAAGATCTCTCTTCTATACAGTATCTACGTGGTGTTGTTAGGTGTGGTTGAGTCGGCTCCAACTCATGGTGACCCCATGTACAACAGAACAAAAACACTGCTGGTCCTGTGCCAGCCCCACAATCCCTGCTATACCTGAGCCCAATGTTGCAGCCACTGTGTCAATCTATTGTGTTGAGGGCCTTCCCCTTTTTCACTGACCCTCCACTTTACCAAGCATGATATCTTTCTCCAAGCAATGATCCCTTCTGACAACATGACCAAAGTTGGTAAGACCAAGTCTGGCCATTCTTGCTTTCAAGGAGCATTCCAGCTGCACTTCCTCCAGGATAGATTTGTTCGTTCTGGCAGTCCACGTACTTTCCGTATTCTTCACCAACACAACTCAAAAGCATCAACTCTTCTTTGGTCTTCCTTACACTGTCCAGCTTTCACAAGCATATGAGGCAAGTGAAAATACCATGGCTTGGGTTAGGTGCACCTTAGTCTTCAAGGAGACATCTTTGCTCTTCAGCACTTTAAAGAGGTCTTTTGCAACAGATTTGCCAATGCAATACAACGTCTGATTTCTTGACTACTGCTTCCATGGGTGTTGATGGTGGAACCAAGTAATATGAAATTTTTCACAACTTCAATCTTTTCTCAGTTTATCATGATGCTGCTTATTGGTCCAGTTGTGAGGATTTTTGTTTCCTTTATGTTGAGATGTAATGTACTTTATGTTGAGACTGTAGTCTTTAATCTCCATCACTAAGTACTTCAAGTTATCTCTTTCAGCAAAGTTGTGTCATCTGCATATCACAGGTTGTTAATGAGTCTTCCTTCAATCCTGATGCCATGTTCTTCTTCATATAGTTCAGCTTCTCAGACTATTTGCTCAGCATACAGATTGAATAAGTATGGTAAAAACATGGAACTCTGATGCACTCCCTTCCTGATTTTAAACCATGCATTATTCCCTTGGTCTGTTTGAATGACAGCCTCCTGGTCTATGTGCAGGTTTCTCATGAGCACAATTAAGTGTTCTGGAATTCCCATTCTTATCAATGTTATCTATAGTTTGTTGGGATCCACACAATCAAATGCTTTTGTATAGTCAATAAAACACAAGTAAACACCTTTCTGGTATTCTATGCTTTCAGCCAAGATCCATCTGACATCAGCAATGATATCCTTGTTCCACATCCTCTTCTGAATCCAGCCTGAACTTCTGGAAGTTCTCTGTCAGTATACTACTGCAACTGTTTTTGAATTATCTTCAGCAAGCTTTTACTTGTGTGTGATATGAATGATATTGTTTGATAATTTCCACATGCTGTGGGATCACCTTTCTTTGGAACGGGTACAAGTATGGATCTCTTCCAGTCAGTTGGCCAGGTAGCTGTCTTCCAAATCTCTTGGCAAAGACGAGTGTTGAAACATCTCAATGGGTATTCTGTCAATTCCTGAAGCCTTGTTCTTCACCAATTCCTTGAGTGCAGCTCTGACTTCTTTCTTTAATACCATTGATTCTCGATCATATGCCACCTTCCTGAAATGGATGAACATCGACCAATTCTTTTTGGCCCAGCTACTCTGTATTCCTTACATCTTCTTTTGATGTTTCCTGCATCATTCAATATTTTGCCCATAGAATCTTTCAGTATTCCAACTCGAGGCCTGAATTTTTTTCTTTAGTTCTTTCAGCTTGGGAAATGCCGAGCATGTTCTTCCCTTTTGGTTTTCTAACTCCAGGTCTTTGTACATTTCATTATAATACCTGACTTTGTCTTCTCGAGCTGCTCTTTGAAATCTTCTGTTCAGCTCTTTCATCTTGTCATTTCTTCCATTTGCTTTAGCTCTCTGTTCAAGAGCAAATTTCAGAGTCTCTTCTGACATCCATTTTGGTCTTTTCTTCCTTTCCTGTCTTTTTAATGACCTTTTGCTTTCTTCATGGATGATGTTCTTGATGTCATTCCACAATTCCTCTAGTTTTCGGTCACTGGTGTTCAGTGCATCAAATCTATTTTTTAGATTTTGTCCAGTGAAAACCTTATGAACAGCAGTGAAACACTGTATAATATATTACTGGAAAACTTTATGAACAACCCTGAAATACTGTCCAATAATGAGCCCCTCAGGTTGGAAGGTATTCAAAATGTGACTGGAGAAGAGCTGTCTCCTCAGAGTAGAGTCAACCTTAATGATGTGGATGGAGTAAAGCTTTCGGGACTACCATTTGCTGATGTGGCACAATTCAAAATGAATGAAACAGCTGCAAACATCCATTAATAATCAGAACATGGAATGTATGAACTATGAATCTAGATAAGTGGTGGGTATGGTATGTAGTTCTTTTATTATTACTGTATTATTGTAATTACGTACTGTATTATTAAGTTTAAGATGTTTTAGTATATTTGAAAGTTTTTCTTTTTGGTCTACAAGAAACTCACTTTCTCTGTGTGTGTGTGTGTGTGTAAGTGAGAGTGAGAGAGAGAGAGAGAGAGAGAGAAAGAGAGATTTGGGTGAAAGTTTACAGAGAAAATTTGTTTTCCATTCAACAACTCACACATTGTATTTTGTGATACTGATTGCAATCCCCACAGTTTAACAGCACTCTTCCCACTTTTTCCCTGTGTTTCCCTTCATCCTTCTTCTCTGTCCCTTTCTGCATTCATATCTTTATGCCTGGGCAAATGCTGTTTTGATCTCATGTTCGACGGTTCTAATGAGTACACACGTCCCTGGTATTACTGTTCACCTTACAGGCCTATCATTTAGCTGAAAGTTAAGCCATGGGAGTGAGTTCAGTGCCAGGCTTAAAGGGTAAAAGTGCTGTGTAAGTTTTATATGCATAGGAAGGTAAATTATATACTATATACTAAGATAAACATCTGTCCTGGAAGATGTGCAGCCAGAATGCTCCTTGGAAGCAAGAGTGGCCAGACTTCTTCTCACCTACTTTGGTCATGTTGTCAGAAGGGACCATTCCCTGAAGAAGGATATCATGCTTGATAAAGTGATGGTCAATGAAAAGGGGAAAGGCTTTCAACAAGATGGACTGACACAGTGGCTGCAATGCTAGGCTCAGATATAGCAAGGATTGTGGGGTTGGCACAGGACTGGACGGTGGTTTGTTCTGTTGTACACAGGGTCGCTGGAAGTCAGAGATGACTCAATGGCATCTAACAACAACAACACAACTGAAGCTAAGTAAGAACCCTATGTACCTCTTTCGACTTACCTACAAATTCGACTTAAAGAGAGATTTAGGAACAGATCTCTTTTGTAATCCAGGAACTGCCTGTATCTAAGAAAGATGAACACATGCATCCTCTACGAACTGGCACTTTCACTCATAGGTATATACCCAACACATATGTAGAATTTTACCTACCAAAAATCATGTAATAGGATGTTCATATCAGGAGTATTTGTACTATCCCAGAACTGGGAGCTACCCGAATGCCTATCAACAGTAGACTTTATAAATAAACTGTTTATCTACTCATACAGAAGACTACTGAGATCAACAACAAAGAGACCGACAACAAACGAGAACCATCAATCTATAACCAGATGGACAAATCTCACAAACATAATGTTGAACAGGAGAAGCCAGATACAAAAGACCACATGCTGTATGACTACATTTATATAATGCATAAAAACATGAAAAACTAATCTCTTCTGTTAGGAGTCAAGATAATGGATATCCCAAGAGGGCTGGGGGAAAAGTAGTGACTGCAAGAGAGCAGGAGGGAGGCTTCTGTGTTTCTCCATGTGATGGAAAATACTGCACCAAAAATAAGGTACTAATGGCTCCTGTTCTCTCCAGATGCACCCCTGCCTCTGCAACACACACACAAACCCCAACCGTGTCATAAGATCTCCCATTTACTCTCATGTTTCTTTTTTGTTGTTAGTTGTCATCAAGTCAACTCCAACTCACAGCAACTCCCTGTGTGCAGAGTAGAACTGCTCAACAGGGTTTTCAAAAGCAGATCCAACTTGTCTTTCAAGGTGCCTCAGGATGGATTTGAACTGCCAATCTTTCAGCCAGTAGTTGAGCACTTAACTGTTGCTCCACCCAGGGACTCCTCTCCTTTCTCTAGAAAGACCAATGTCCTCTCAGCATAAGTCCTCACTCAAACAAGTCTAATGAAAGGCTATCCTGGCCATACTCCAGACTCCACGGACATAGCATCTTCTTTATGCACCCCAGAGTACCTTCCTAAAGACCTCAACGTTCAACTGACCCAACTGGCTTGTCCTCCCACCAGCCCTCAAGTCCACCTGAGTCACGAGGATGGTTACAGCCACTGGTTTTTCCAATAACACAGTACTCAGTGGCCTCTGATCCCATGCCCACCCCATGCTTCATCTCTGTGGCTCAACATCAAGGACAGGGGCCAACTACTTCCTTCCTAGGCTGAAACACAATGACCATGGATGTGCCATGCTAGCATTGGCAAGACGGGCAGATGCAATACTTACAGAGTGTATGATGTCCTCCATGTCGTAGGCTTTGGTAGACTCCAAAGGGACAATTGTGTCAAGCTCAGGAACTAGACGGTCACTATGGGCAGAAAAGAGGCAGACATAGTCAATATCAGATGAGCCAGGTGCCTTTAAAAGGGGTAAGGAGCATGTAGTAGGAGACATGTCATGGGAATTTGGCTAATTCTGTCCCTACTGGGCTTGTAAAGCAGTCATCAAAGCTGCATTCTTTTGTAACTACTCTATTAACTGAGCCTGAGACTCATTTTTTAGAGGAGAAAATGGGCTCATTCCCCTGAATATAATTCCTTCATTTATCATCTCTCAACACCTGCTATTTTCCAACTACTGTATGAAGCACTGAAGGACACTGTAGTAAAGATGACACCACCCCCAGAATTCCCACTCTAACTTCCTGAGGTATTAAGAACCAAAGAAAAAGGGCTTGGAAACAAAGTAAGAGTTCTGTAGAGACCACTGGATTCATGTTTCTTGTTAGAAGATTAACTTGCTAAAAACTCCTTTAAAGAAAAAAAACTACAAGGCCTCTGGTGGGCAAGATCACTGCAGACTAAATGCTTATACAAAGACTTGTAACTCTCCTTCCTCCTGTGTCTATGTGGCTGGCCAGGGAGGCTGAGTAGGGCCCACTCCCACACTACAGAAGGACTCAGCAATATGCCCCTCCATAACTTCCTCCATCCAACAGGCTCCTGACACCCCCTAATACATTGGGGCCAATGTGACTCATCAAATCCAGCTTCCAGAGGGCTCTTCCTTAGGGTACTGGGCAACCATCAAAGCAAAACCAAATCCACTGCTAGAGTTGATTCCAACTCATAACAACCCTGTAGGACAAAGCAGAACGGCTCCCATAGGTTTCCAAGGCTGTAATCTTTATGGAAACAGACTGCCGCATCTTTTTTCCATAAAGTAGCTGGTATGTTCAAACCACCAACCTTACTGTTGGCAGCCAAGCACTAAACCACTGTGCCACCAGGGCTCTTTGTATTGGGCACAGCCCCACCTAATAACAAAGTCATTCCTTACTTTTGTCATGTACATATACAGCTCGCCTAGAGTCACATGGAGTAGACGTATGGCTCAACCAAAGCAAGCTATTCAGACACCTCTGGGCCCATAGGCCGTCACACCTTCAAATGATGTCCAAAACTCCCTAAGAATTGCAAATACCATGAACCCTGTGAGAGCCATAACTCAATAGAATTGCCTTGCTTTTCTTGTGAACTTTCCACCCTGGACAGGGTGCAGGCTTACCACATTTCTCTAGCTCATTTTAATGGAAAATATTTGAGTTTTCCTTCACTGACAGGTTTCCACCTTGTATAAGTTCCAGGTTTCACAAGTTTTACTGTAATATAGATGCCCAGAAAAGGAGGGCTATGTCCACTGCTGCTGAGCCCTGTGACAACACTCTCTTCCACAGCAATAATGTACAGTGGACAACTGGCTATGTCTCCTAGAATGACACAGAGGCAGAGTGGGGCCCTGGAAACAATACTCTCTTCAGAGCATTCCTGGCCAAGGTGGAGGGCACTGGCTTCTTCCCAGGGGATACAATTCCATATACCTTCTGCAGAAGAAATCCAGGCTACCTAAGTGGGCAGGAAACAAAATAGAGACAGAAGCAGCCAGAGGTCTTGGGGCAGTAGTTGGGCTGCTAGCTGACTCTGTGGTACTTCCCCCTCTACCCTGCCCTGAGTCAGGTGGTGGTCCCAACAATAAGAGGGAAAGAAGGTCTGGACTAGGTGGCCAGCAACACACTCTTCTCCATGACCACCACAGTCTGGCCCCAAGCAGGTGTGCATAAATTCCTTTCCTAAAGGGCATACTGTCTGCCATCATTTCACATGTATTTACTTCATGTCAAGACCCAAAAACCTCTATCCCCAATTCTGAAAAGCTCAAGAATCTCTTAGAAATCTTTTTTCCCCTGCTTGCCACTCCATATGCCCAAGATTTATATCAGATATTACAGAGAGGAAAAAAGTGAAGAAGTCATCTTTCTTTGCTCCTGTGCCCAAGACATGCCACCATCATCCTCACTCCTGAGAGCCACATTGACTTTACTCCATCATCTACTCTAACAGGGCAAACCCTGGAGGTACTGCCAGGGCAGAGGGGCCAGAGAAGGTCAAGCTGTGCTATAAAATGAGAGCTGGTGCTATGGCCTGACACTCACCTGGGATCATGGCACTCACGGATGGGAGCCGGGTCCTGATTGCTGAGGGGTAGGTAGTTGAAGAACTCCCGTAGACTACACAAGGCATCAACATCATTTTCAAAAGCTTTGTGGGCCACACCTGAGAAAGCAAGAGATTACAATGGGCCAGGGCACCAGTTAACCTAAAGATGTTGGTTCATGCCTGCTTCCTCCTTCTAAGGCACGTCTGCAGTGGACTATATGGATAGCCATCCTCACCACCCCCTTCACCAAGGATGAGATGTTGCACACCACTCACCTTCACGCTGAACCTGGATTAATGCAGCCTGTTCCCTTTGCCCTGTACCCACATCCCTGCAGAAGGCATTCTTTACTCAGGTGTTTCAATAATGTCACCACCTCTGGCTCCCTGTCTAGAACATACCTGTTCCTACTCCCCTCACCGTCCACCCCTGCACCATCTGAGAGTTCACATTGTTCCTGTAGCACCCATCTATTTGTTTCCCGGTTTATCATATAACATCTCCCTTAGAATAACAGTACAAAAGTAGAGACCACATCTGTCTTACTCACCACATCAAGGATGACGATGCCTAGCACAGAACAGGTGCTCTGTAATGGTGGAAGCAAAAGGAAAGGAAGGGAACCACTAGGATGCAGTGAAGCATCAGAGCTTCACTAGGTTTGTGTGAATCTAAGGGAAGATTATTGCAGGCAGAGACAACAACCTAAGAGTGTTCTGAAATTACAGAACAAACAAAGCCACAGACATCACAGGAAAAAAATGGGGCCAAGAACTCTCTCAGGTCCATTCTCAGTGGACCCCTTGCTTCCACCACTGCTCCTCAATCTGTTCTCCAAATGCAACCAGAGCGAGCCTTTAAGTCAGATCACGTGATACCTCTGCTCCAACCATCTTCCTTGCTATTCCCTGAACATGCTGCCACTTTCCTACCTCTCAGCCCTTTCTATAGGTTGTTCTCTCTGTCTGCAATAGTCTTTCCCTAGATTCACACAGCTAACTCCTTCCAATCTGCTTAAATGTTACCTTCAGTGAAGTCTAACCATACCACCTTATTTAAAACTGCAACCACTCCAATTCCATTTACCTTATACAATTTTCAAATCATGTATTACATTTAACATGCTAAATCATATACTTTCTTCTTTGTGGTAACAGCTTTATTGAGATATAATTTATATACCATACAATTATCCCATTTAAATTGTATAATCCAATGGTTTTAGTATATTCTAAAACATATATATATTGAGAGTTGTGCAATCATCATGACAATACACAAGGCCTTATAAACATATAAATAAACATACAATATTTATAAGCCCCACACAAGTAGGGGTCTTTATTTCTTTTACAGATATATTCTTGAGCAATGTTTGATACACAGGAATGCAATATTTGTTGAGCAAAAAAAAACACAACACTTTGAGTCAAGAAAAATTTATAAATTAGCATAGCCATTTTGGAGAACATCTGGCAATTATTCAAAAGGTTAAACAAAGAATTACTATTTGACCCAGAAATGCCACTCCTCGATAAATACCCAAGAGAAATGAAAACTTAAGTCCACACTAATGTTTAAAGCAGACTTACTCATGACAGCCAAGGAGTGCAAAAAACCAAAATGTCTACGCAGTGTAGCAAATTACTTAGTATGGCTTTTCTACCCATAAGTCATTGTAAACTCAGTGGTGGAATGAGCAACTGAGGAGCTCCTGATTGTAAATGCTATCCACCTGGGTTATTTCTGTTGGGTGTGGCACAATGCAATATTATGGGAGGCTATCTCTCAGGTGCTTAGAGTTCTGATGCTATGATTGGCTAGTTTGGCCACTCTGCCAAGCTCAAAAGGAGGCCTCCTAGAGGCAGAACTCTCTCTGACTGCTGGTTGAGGAAGACGTGCTGCTGAAAGAGACACGCACTCCTGGGAAAGAGACGCAAGAGACATGCACTGCTGAGTGAGACACCGAGGAACCAGTAGTGCTGGGAAAGAGACTGTGAGAGACTGTTGGCTGAGGGACGGTGGGCTGGGAGAGAGACTGAGCGTTCTTCCTGAAATTGAATTGCAGCCTGTGCTTCCCTAATAAGCCCCATAATCTGTGAGCTGTGTGTGGCCACTGCAGCGAATTACTGAACCCAGGAGAGAGGTGGTGCATGCTTTGGGAGGAACGGTTGGTGAAAGGGCTGGAGGGAGGCAACATGTCTGGCCTGGCAGGAATAGGCCTTGTGTTACTGCTGGTAATCCTGTCTTCCTCTTGTAGGGTTAGAGGACGCCTGAACATGTGGCCTCCTCGCCGTTTTGCAGTCTACCAATGGGTAAATAAACTGTGGTATATACCCGTACAATGGATTATTATTTAGCAATGGAAAGGAGTACTGATTTATGTCACAACATGGATGATCCTTGAAAACACTGTTAAACAAAAGAAGCTAAACACTAAATGCTACATACTGTATGATTCCATTTACATAGTATGTCCAGAGTACACCAATCTATAGAGACAGAAAGTAGCAGTTGTTCAGTGGGTAGATCTCACTGAGGGTAACATTTAAGCAGATATGAAGGAGTTAACTGTGTGAATCTAGGGGATGACTACTGCAGGCAGAGAGAACAACCTATATACAAAGGCCCTGAGAGGTAGCAAAGTGGCAGCATGCTCAGGGAATAGCAAGGAAGATGAGGGGATTAGGGGGTGAAAGCTAAAGGGTGTGGGGTTTCTTTTTGAGGCAATGAAAATGTTCTAACATTGATTGTCATGACGATTGCACAATTCTCAACATACATGTTTCAGAATATATTAAAACCGTTGAATTATACAATTTAAATGGGTTAATTGTATGGTATATAAATTGTATGTCAATAAAGCTGTTACTAAAAGGAAAGAAAAAAAAAGTATTTGTAGAGCATCATTTGGCTCTTGCTCAGGGGTTACAGAACCAGCATGTCAAGCACAGCCCACCAAAGATCTTCAGGCCCAGTGATAACACCACATGCTACCTTTGAAAAGTCTAAAATTGTACTGCACAAGAAAATTTAATGTCATGGGCAGATGTTCATTTCTGCAAGCTGTCAAGTAAAAACATGTTACTAGAGAATATGAATGCATGTTACTAGAGAATATGAATGTACCTACGTATAAGTGTATATACACATGCATTCATACCCATCAGCATGAAGAGACTGCAGGGTACATACCCAAACCTTAGTGATTTTTATTCCTGTATTTTCTCAACTTTCTGCACAAACATATAATAGTATTGAAATCAGGAAAGACAAATAAATAGCATATTTCATCACATCTGAGACATCAAGACTCAACATTATTTTATGTAAAAGTAGGAAAGAAAAACTTCTGCCAATGAGCCAGAAACAAGAGAGTAAAGACAGGCTCTGGTAGAGTCAATGATGAAAAGTGTTCTGATTCTAGATGTGTTTTAGAGATGGAACAGATGGGTGAAGGAAAGAAATGAGCCAAGGTTGATGCCAACCTGAGATGGAGGAAGAATCTAGAGCTGTGAACTTTTTAAACCACATTTCATCAAATCTAAGTAATTATTTCAGTGAAAGTAAGACACACCTCTATTTTATGTATACTAAGAAGGAAATGGGAATCCCTGGGTGGTGCCAATAGGTAACCACTCAACTACGAACTGAAGGGTTGGCAGTTTAAATCTACCCACAGGCACCTTGGAAGAGATGTGGTGACCTGCTTCCAAGAGGTCACAGCCATGAAAAGCTACAGAGCATCTATTCTGTACACATGAAGTCACTATGAGTCAGAATTTGCTCAACAGCAACTAACAACAAGAAAAAGGAGGACATGCTGACAATTAAACCATGATCTAATGCTTTAACCAAAGTCCAGCATGGCACAGAAAGCAATCACATCAGCCTCTCACTGCTTTAAATCTTTCACTGAGGCAATTTCTTCCATCTTTAGTTCACTGGTTGATGTGTAGTAAGCAATTCTTTTGCAATTTGGTTAAAAACACCACTTTATTGACTTGTCGGGGTACCCCCCCCAAGAAAATATGGAATTGCAATCATTACTCCAACAGCAAATATGTCTTTACTAATATCAGATTCATGCTCTGCTCTAATTCCCACAACTTTCTGTAGAAACTTTTCTTGCAATGTCAAAGCATAAGATGATATTTATACATACATTTTAAACTCAGTATGTGTGGCACATAACCTCAAAGAGGGAAGAACTATGACCAAGTTCATGCTTATGTGGCTTTGACCACTACATTACAACTGTACCTGGCCATTCTCAACTGGTAAAACACCATCTACTCTAAGACATACCCCAACTTCAGAGTATGAAAAAAAAAAATGAGTCACAATATAAAATACAATTTTCCCTTGTCTTATATGTAAAATGGCACCATATTTGCATATAACCTACGCATATTCTCCCAAATACTTTAAATGTACCTAATACAATGTAAAAGGAGCCCTGGTGGCATAGTGGACAAGGCATTTGAGTGCTAACCAGGCCAGTGGTTCAAACCCACTAGCCACTTCATGGAAGACAAATGGGGTGATCTACTTCCTTAAAGATTTATAGCCTCAGAAACCCAACGGAGGTCACTATGAGTTGGAATCTACTCGATGGGAATGAGTTTGGTTTCATACAATGTAAATACTATGTAAAAAGCACTTTACACTCCCTCTTAGCCTTTGAGGGATTGCTTTGACTACTTACTTGCTTTTTTTTTTTTTTTTGCACCTGAATATTTTCAACCCACTGTTAGTTAAATTCATGGATGCTGAACCCATAAATATGGAAGGCTGACTGTATATATTTTAAAACATTCCACTGACCATATATAAATCATATGTACTTATAACCACCATTCCAATTAGCTTTAAATTATTTTAGACTGTTGAAGTATTCATTGGCAGTACTGGTGGTGGTAGCTACTCTCAAGCTGACCTCTGATCCACTGCAATCCCATGTAAAACAAAAAGAAATGCTGCCCAGTCCTGCACTATCCCCATCATGGTTTGTAGATCAGACTGTTGTGATCCAAAGGGTTTTCACTGTCCAAGTTTCAGAAGCCAATTGTCAGGCAAGCAGCATCCAGATGCAACAACTGGTCTTTCTTCATCT